TTATATTTATATTTATATTTATATTTATATTTATATTCTTCATAAATCGTTAGTGAACATTCCTTATTTGACTGTATTTACGAACTGTTTCTGGTAAATAGCTTTCTTAAACCGTAATGTTTACTGCCTTCGCTTAATTACACAATATTTTTAAGCTGAGACTTTGAACATTGCATTACTATTCTTTTTTTCTCTCACATTGGTAATACTTTTGTGATAGGGTAGAATTCTGTCAATAAACAAACAGTTTATCCTTTGATTTTTTGGGTTTTGAAGTCGCAACTGTATGATTATCAAAAGTTCCAGGAAAGCTTAAGAAATATGCAGGAAGAACAATTAAAATGCAGTTGCGTTTGCTTAAAATTAATGCTTCCATTGCGGAAGAGCATTTTCTGATCTATAAACTGTAAAAAGTTCAAAATATTATGTAGAATTTTAAAGCGGCAGTAAAAAGAATTGATAGCTAACATAAAAAATGTAATTCAAAGTCATACAGAAAACGTTTTGTGCAGAGGAAAGAAAGTTATAGTGTCTGCTTTTCTAACTATTGCGCTTTGAACATTTGAGTCTAAAGCGAAATTTTTGATCTAGCATTGTGTATAAGGCTGCTTACTGATAAGGACACAAATGCTAACAATTAACTATAAACATCTTTGATAATGAAAGTGGTGTTAAGTGAGCTTTTCAGAGCGTTATTCAAGTGTGTTTCCCAACAGTACTTCGTTATTTTGTGCCCTTCAACAAACAGTTAAGCGAGGCTATCCTTATTCTTAAAGCAATTGGTATTCGTTGTATAGTTTTCTAAAAAAAGAGGGACAAAACGTTAGTTGATTGAATAATTTCTCAAACGAATTGCATTTTAAGTCTGAGTATAGTAGTATCTGAGTAATAAAGCCAGAACATGCAGAGTTGACTGTGAGCTTTTCTACAGCTCTTAGTTTGAAAAAGAAAAATTTTTGGGAAAAACTTTAATTTTACTGTTCACTGAATTCAAAGTAAAACAACCTTATTGTCATAACCCTTAAAACGCTTCTTTTATTTTATTATAATTCTCTCTTGAAGTCAAAAATTTTTTGCAGATGGAATTTTACTACGTAGAAGAACTATGCCAGTTGTCCAGAAATGGAAATTTGAAAAGCATCTGTCATCTGCTAGACGACCACAAGGAGTTCGATAAAGGAAGAATCAAGAAAGCAATGGTTTGTGCCCGTAAAAAATTGCAATGTACTCATCTTCTTCCCCTTTCTTAGACGAGTGTAAAATGCAGTCATTAGTTCACCAAAGCCTTTTTTCTGAGAAACCAGGCAATTTTGAGAGGCATTTTTTGAGCGGATCCATATCTGATATTTTTGTGGCGAAAATTGAATCTTGAAAAACCGTAATTAAGAAAGCAGTTTTCACTCACATTCTGTCTTTTTTAACCCGACAGAAAGTATTCTATCATCAATATTCTATAGTGTTTTAGCACTGATAAGGTTTTAAGCATCTAAGCAACAATCAAACTGGCGGGTAGTTTCGTTCATGCTCATTGTTTCTAACTTCAGAAGATACACATTTAGTTGTTAACTTTGATACTTTACTAGCAATGATAAGATTTTGGCAAGCGAAATAGGATTATAATTTCAAAAACAACAGAAAAATTGAAGAAAGACGTTTTGAAACTTCAACGCCTTAAATTGCATCGACCTATTTTTTTAGTACAATAAAATTCCTTTCTTGCTTCAGGAAGAGGCACTTTCGGTGGCAGTTGAAAGTGGCCATGTAGAAATCGTTGAATTTCTTGTAGATTATGGAGTGAACACTATCGCAGAATGCAGAGATGAGGTAAATAATCAAACCTGAAATTTCCACTCATGCACAATTTTCTCAAAAACTTCAACCTGAGAAATTATGAAAAAGGAAAGGAATTGGAGTCAACAGATGGTTGACAAAAAAAAAAACAGCATTTTTGTATCATTTGCTCCACTGGCAAAAGCAACTCGCAGATCATCTAGCATCATATGTATTTCTTCCTTAGTTTTCCTGTTCGTTTTCTTTTCTTTGTCCTAGAGTGTCGTTTTATGAGAGCGAAAGACGGGAAGAAGAGCAGAACAATGTCTGTTCCTCAGCAAATATGAGAATTATAAGCACAAGGCTCAACACTAATAAACAGCTATTAGTGAAGAAAGCTTCTGTACGATAATAAAGTTCTGTATTTCAATACCTCGAAATCAAACAGGTAAAAAATATTATTTTTTCAGAGGAGCCTACTATTTAAAGCAGCTTCCAGCGGGAACACCGAATTAGTAAAATATCTCTTTGAGTGCGGACAAGACATTGACGCAGATGATATGAACCACGTAAACACTTATTTTAATCCTTTAAAAAACTTTTTAATTGAAAAAGTTGTTTATTACAGCCTTATTTTGCGTCAAGTTCAGAAGCTTTGTTAAAAGAACCATAAGCAAGCAGCTTGCCCCTGTGTTCACATATCTTCCTGTAGCAAATCCACGATGTGACTTTTATAAGACGAATCCCCTTTATTTTTTTAATCTTCGGTATTGCTAGTTTCAAAACGTCATTGAAAAGACCCTTCTTTTCACCAACTGTTTTCAAGGTTCCTTCATAGTTTGTTTTTCTCTACAACGAAATGGCATGACAAGCTACTGAGCGCGGCAGAAAAAGCGATCGTAAAACCTTCCCTTGCATTTCCATGTTGAAAGACCGAAAAAAAAAAACGTGCAATGCAGGAAGCACCGTAAACATCTAAAATGAAAAAATTTTAAAACAAGAGTAAGCCGTATAAGTTGTAAAATCTAGAAATTAGAGTTGGTTAATGACAAAAGTCGTCTTCAGTAGATGAACGAAGGCAAAGTAACATCGGAGAAGTTTTAATATTCAGTTAATTATCAGTTATGTATAAGATTTGGCACAAACGACATGTTTAACACTCACAGCTAGAATTGCCAAGAACTAAAAGAACGCGGCTAGCATACAGATTAGTAGGAGTGCAAAGAAAAACAAGCTTCTGATGGTTCTTTCTTCACAATTCGCCTGAAACACAAAAAATATAAAGGAAAGTAAAAAAATTGACTACTGGCAAATTAAAAAAAATGTACAAGATACAGCTAGGTAGATCATAAACCAAAGAAAAAAATGCAAAAATTTTATCCTGTTTAGTATCCTAAAGAGTACTATTTGTTTAGAGGACTGCCTTGCACTCAGCATCATTCAAAGGAGACTTAAAAATGGTCAAATGCCTAATTGAGTGTGGTGCCGACAAGAATTCTAGAGACAGTTGTCAGGTAAGGACCTTTCAAAAATATCCGACAAAAGTCAGTGTTTAGTGTCCGGCAAGTGCCACTGTCTCGTAGTTACTTCATTCTCAGTCATTAAGAGGCCCTCAATATTCCACTGTCTGGTTTCGGCTAAAGTGAGCCTGAGAAATTACAAATTCCGACCCGCAAATGGCAAAATGTTTTGAAAAAACAAGAAGTTATGTGAAGTTACTGAAAATAATAGCTTTTGATTAAAGTCAATCAACCACATCTTCACCACTGTATAAAAGTTTTAAGCAGCCTTGCAACGGAAATTTCACATTTCTGAACGCTAAATCGTTTGTGCAGAAATGAAGCTAATAGAAACCAAAAATTGAACATGTGCCAGCCGGCACGGAAAGGCTTTTGTCGGCGTACTTCTAGGATTCAGAAAACCATTTACCGGCGTTTTTTAGTGAATCGGGAGTGGGATTGGAACCGAATGAAATACATAGCAAAAAATGGGTTATAGTTGAAGTAAACTTAACAAACAAAGAAATGGCCTTTTCCAAAATGAGAAACCCATGAATTTTGGAGTTGTTTTTCGTTCGCTGATAATCAGATATTTCTAAATTTTCTTCCAAAGACAAACTGTGAATAACAGAAATAGAATGTATGAAGTACAGAGATAAAAAGATTTCGCAGTAAAACACAGTGATTGGCAGTAGGTTTTAGTAGGTTTTATACAAAATTGAATTCAAAAAGTTATTGGTAAGCTTTCATTTTGCAAAAGAGTTATGAAAAACCTTTATTACTCTTCAGTTCACTCCACTGCACTTGGCTGCATATCGAGAAAACGTAGAAGTAGTCAAGTACTTGCTAGAAAAAGGAGCCGAAGTAAATGCAAGGGACATAAATGAGGTAAATCATTGTTGAAACCTTCGGAAGAAATACGCTGCTTGTTCAGAAAATGTTTTTATTCGCATTGTTTGCTTTAAAAAATTTGCTTTGAAAACCACCAGAATAACAAAAAAGTCTGTTTACCGTACTATTGTATGAACTGTTCTTCGCTAAAACAAACCAGCTGGAAAAAAAACAACTCAGAAATTTCATGGGCCGATGAAAGAACGCTAAAAATAATAAAAACAACAACATAAAAAAAAGAGTTGAAGCCACTAGATTTGAATAAAAAGGTGGAAATGAATTAGCAAAGAAAAATTACAGTTATTATCTGCACACTGAAAGTTGTCGTCAGCTCGGAGTGTTAAATCTTTGTTCACTGTTTGAATTGTTCTACTGACAAAAATTTTTGATGTAACAAAACTTTCAATTTTGTTGTAGTGAATCAGAGATGGATGACAGTATGAACTCTAATGTACAAATAATTATTAAGAAATTTTTTTTTGTCTGCAGAAAACTCCATTACATTTCGCAGCCTTGCGCGGAAACGTGGAATTGGTGGAACTGTTGGCTCGAAATGGTGCTGATTTTGCCGCAAAAGACAAGCAAAGGGTAAATGACCATTGACTGTGTTTTGAAAAATTTTTATAACTGGAAAAATTTCTTCTCTTGCTTTATTCTGTTTGGGAAACACTGTTTATCCACATTAGTCAAAATTTGAAACGAAAAAAAAAAAAGAACTTAAAAGTCTTTATTAAATGGATAATAAAATACGTCATTTTAAGAAATAGGCCATATTTTCAGCCCTGAAAAGATTTGGTTAAACTGTTGCCAGTGTAATATGCTTATTAAGCGAACAAATAATTCCAACAAACCATCCTCAGATATTACAATTAGTCAGTAAAAAAGATAAAACAGAATCCAGTATTATAATTTGTAAAAATTAATACTGACTATTATTTCATTAAGAAAAGTCCTATAAAAACGTGACAAAATTTTCAACTTTTCTTTGTTAGTTGTTCTTCTGTATTGTTGCTGAAAAAAGAATTAGGAAGAATTTCTAAACTAACAAATAAAAAATGCAGCAAAACTGAGGTTTCTTTCAGGCACTTTAGCTGAAAATTCAAAATACATTTTAAAGTGTTTTATAAAAATTTTGAAAGTGAAATTTATAAACTGAGGAAATAATGAGATTACAGAAGAAAGAGTTTGAAATTATAAATTACTTAATAGGTGAGATAAGGTAAAGTACAATGGTTTAATTCACGGTAAGTTATGAATATAATTTTTTAGACGAATTTTGAGTCTGGCATACAAATTCTTCAAAAATTTCTGTTTATTTTACCACTACTTTTACTAAACTTGGAAAGAAGAATGTCCTAAAGACAAATTTTAATTCAGTTAACTCCGATGCATTATGCGGCAGATGGATCAGGCGGCAAAGTGCTCGAAATGTCGACGACCAGTGAAACCAGCGTCAGTGCGGCGAACTGAGAAGGTGGATGAATACTTGAAGATGTTGTAGAAACTTATCAGTAGCTTTAAAAATCTTTAGTTTGCATAGTAGACACTGAATAAACTTTTTTGCGTACATTTTTCAGAATAACACAGATTATTAATTGTATGTCATAATTTAAACACACTGTTTAGTAAATTTACTGCTGTGCTAAGTAATACAAAGTAATTGTGACAGCTGAAAGAAATTTGAGAATGAAAACTCAAAAAACATCTGATTTGCTTTTAAGATAGAAAAGAAGTGAAAAAAAAAAGAAATTTTTAGCAAAACAGACGATTGCGATTGAAAGCTACCGGAGAAAATATACTAAGTGATTGCAAAAATTTTTAATTTTTATTTTCTTTGAAAGTCAAACGATCAAATAACTTTACTTGTAGGCGTCTAGAAAAAATTAAGACATTTTTTTACTAGTTTTTCTTTATCTAACTCTTGGATACAGCATTAGCTGCTGATTTATTTATTACAATACATTTTTTGATTACAATACAAAATCTTAAGTTCTTATCTTGTGTTAAAGTTGTCGTCAAGTTCAACAAATGCCGTCATTACAAAAGTCTAGATTTTTTGTAAAATATGTAAATTTTCTTTGTCATTTGCTTTTATATTTGTCGTAAACTGTTCCTACAGTTACTCAACAAAACTATTTTCACAAAGCTACGTCTTGATAAAGAAAGATAAGAAAGAAAAGTTGTTTAAATGTAAGAATTTAACACCTAAACAACAAGAAATATTTATCTGTTCTTATATTTTACTAACACTATAACACACTGCAATACTTGGAGTTCTTAGAACCTAGATTTAGAAGCAAGTTTTTAGCCAACTTGTTGTTAAATTGGTATATATGACTTTACCGCATTTCTTCAATTTTTCATTCTGTTATGATTATTTAAAATTTTCACGTTACATCGTGGCTACTGACTTTAGCATAGCTTACACTTCCCGACCAACAGTACAGGTGAGATAATATTTTGTTGTGAAGCTGCTGACTGCTATTATTTTTGAACTGTTACCTGATACGAGCTCAATTTTTGATACGTTTGTACCGCAGCTTTAATCACTGGTCAAATTAATTAACCGGTCTGTTAAGTGGAAATGAAGAGCAACTTAAAATAAATAATAATACAAATCTGAAAAACTTTTTTTCTTTTATTTTAAGAAATGATTCACCCTTAGCTTTTGTTATTATACCCTTTTTTTGCTTTTTGACATTATTCAGAAACTGCGTACATTTTGTGATTTTGCTTAGAATATACATGCTTTTTTGCTTGTTATTAGAAATGTCTTGCTAATTCAGATGTTGTGAATTATTTGACGATGAATGCGCAATAAGTAAATTGTTCATCTACTACTCAATTCGCCATTTTTCTTTGAGTTTCCAACTTTTGAAATATTAAAGTACTTTTTTGATGCCAGTTGCAAAATGCTTTACGCATCACAATTTAAAGTTTTACACGCGTAATCTGAAACTGTTTTTGAACTTTCAAAGATTTTGGTAGTCTGAAAAATCTGTAAACTAGCAGCTTACCTGCTAATTTATTTTTGTTTATAAATTACCAGCTCAAATAGGCATTTTACAAAATGTCTTTCTATCATGTGTTCACTGCTTATTCCACAGCAGTATAATACTCTTTATGAGACATTACCGTTCTTGAGATTTAAATTTTGTCATTTGCGAACAAGATGATTGATGTTACTTCATCAGAGTTCATTGTGAACGAAGCAATACAATCAATTATCATGAGTTGTTTAAATGCTGCCAAATATCTTTCATTTTCGTTTTTTTATGGCGAAATTAAACCGTTTCGATTCACCACATTATTTTATTTGAAAAAGTTTGAACATTCACAAAGTGCAATTGATTATAAAGGAAGGCTTCTTCATAGTTGAAAGATGCGATGATGAAAAAATTGTCTGTCAATTTTTGTAAAAGTGACAGCAAACATTTTTTTTGGAAAATCTGAAAATCATTTGGGCAACATTGCATAATTTTAATCGTTTGCAACAGTTTAATTGTACGGTAGGGAAAAGGTGAAAAAAAATAGGACATAAATGTAAGAACAGTTTTTTGTTATTAAATGCAATGGGGGATATAAACCAATAAATTTAACTGCATAAAATTTTATACAATTAATAGAGTTTAAAAAAATACATTTTAAAGTTTTTGTTCTTATTTTAGTGTACAAAAATAGAAATTTGTCTGTCCAAAAAACTGTGAAGCCATGTAGCTGCTGACCGGTTTTAAGTTTAGAGCAATATTTGCCAGATATGTAGGTCAGTAATTTGAAACTCAACTGGTCTTTTTTTAACTTTTTTCCCGCTTCTCTGGTCAACAAATTTACTGCTTCAAATCTTCATATCTGTTCTATACAGTGGTCGAATACAAACTGTACGCAAAAGTGGGACAGTAAAGGCAATAAAAGAGACTAAACTAAAGAAATACGTGGTTTTTCTGCTGATAATGATTAACCCCAAAATAATGCGTTTTTTACAATGCTGTCTAAAGAATGTTCAATGACAGTTTCGAACCTTTCATAATTTGGTTACAGTAATTGTTCGGCGTGTTGAATCTGTTGAAGAAATCTAGAAATGGTTAAATTAAACAATAACTTAGATTGCAATTTTTTTCACCAAACATTTAACTCAAAAGCTGTAGAAGTTTAAACAAATAAACGGAGATAGTTGTAATTGAGTATTTACGCTTATTAAAAGACCAAAATTAGCTTTTTTTTAAAGGTATACCGCAAATGTAAAAGATCAAATGTCACTACACGCAAATTTTGAACCCGCAAACTTTGAGCTCTTTGTAGGCTCACAAACAGTACAGATAAAAATATTTTTAAAATTTATAGACTTCTAAGTATAGTATAAAACTTTTACCGTAGAAGAAGATTTCTCTGGCAACGAAAAAAACCACATAAATTATACAGTATGTTTTAAACAGTAATATGTTTCATATGCAAATATGACCGACCCAAAACTGTGCATAGCACTGTTTAGATCCGCAAAAACCAAAAAATCAAAATAGTAATATTGGCATTTGCATTGAATTTAGAAATGTAAGCTTGAACAATTTTTGAGCAAAAATATGACTTTTTAAGCATTTACTGATAAGTAAATAAATGTTGTTTGAAAAAAACCGCTGAACAATAATTTGATAGTTTTTTTGCTCAATTTATACAGAGTATAAGGTAAAAAAGTATAAAATTATTGTTCAAGCACGCAGTGACGTTAAAAAGTGCTTCTTAAAGCTCTCGTATGATTCTCCAACAAACTTTCTGATTCTGAATGCTTCGTCTTTCGCTTCTTCTCTTCTTCACTCGTTAAGTTCAATTAAATTACTTTCGCTTTAAACAAAATGCTTTGCTTACGATGATACATTGTGAACACACTTAGTTTATAGTTAGAGTAGTGTGAATTTCAAAAAAAAATTTATTTTTTTAAGATTTTTTTAAAATTTTTTTATTTTTTGTGACTTTAATTGCAACTGGAAAGTAACATATGGTTAGGTATGACATAACCAGATGATAAGAATTTTACTTATTTTGTTCATTAATTTTTTTTCAACTTTTACCACATCAATACCACTATTGTTATCTGTGCCTCAAAAGAAAAAAAATAGAAGAATTGTTTCAACAAGTCAGGTAAAACTGAATGATGACTTTTTGTTTAAAATTACCAAATTGGTAACATGTTAAAACTTTAAATGGTTTGTGCAAAAACCGTACTCATAAAGCTTTAGACATATGGTTATATTTCTCAGTTTTAAAAAGTTCAATCTTTTAGTCACTGTGCTAAACAGGTCTCTTCTTTCTTTGACGTTATTTCTTTTTGATTTAGACGGTCAGGTTAGTCAAAGCAAGCTGAAGGTTTTTACACAAATTGTCTGTGGAAAATGCAGTTTCTTTATAGAATGATTAACTAATCTATTGTAGTAAAAATGATGAGATTTAGTTAGATCTTTTTTTCAGTTTTTGATTCTTCTCTTATCACCGTTGTTATTCATACTCGAAGTGAAATAACGGCGCCCAGAAAATACGCTACTATAAGTTACAGTTCTATAGACAAAACTTTGCCAGTGTATTCTATAATTTTGCAACTCTTGTAAAATTCATAGAAGTATTTTTATCGTACATCTAAAATCAAAATGGGGTTAAATATAGAGGTTTTTCATCTGTTCAGAACAATGCTAGTTTAAAAGTTAGAAATTAATAAGCTGAAATTCTTGTAAAATTGAAGGCTTTTTTTGAAGCTCAGAAGTCATAACATCATGTTTTTTTCTGAACATAGAACTCGTACTTTCAACCAACTTTATAAACGCCTACATTATACAGAATATAAAAAAAAATTTCTTTCTTTATTTTTAAAAATGCTATTCTACTGAAATTTTAGATACTTAGCTGTTCGATTTGATGAACAACAGGTTACCCACAGTGTTTTAAAGTTAGATCATTAGTTTTTCAATTTGATAAAAGGAAAGCTTCTTCGTCTTCGCGTATATTGATCTTGCAAAATACTTTTTACACTTTATTTAGTAGAAATTTCTCGCTGAAATTGCTGATATATAAAATTTAAAAAATTGAAACTGTCGAAAAATTATGTTTTGAAAATTATTATAACAGATTCCTAAGAAAAAATTTTTTTCATATACATCACTCTTTAGCGTCTTGATATTTACAGGTTTATTATATTATATCAAAAATTTCATTGTGTGTCTGAGGCTAACAAACAAGCAATTCTACTTTTTTTTTTAAATTAAAAGCTGCTGCATCGAAAGCGGAATTTTAAAAAATCTTAAGCAAAGGAAGACTCTGAAAATTTCAAACAACGCTTTTTTAGGGCTAAGAACCTTTTAAAATTCCTAAACCTTTCGAACGTCAAGCTAATACAAGATTTAATTTCTTTCACAGGTTATGTAAAGCAAAAGGCTGTGGCTTACTACTTGTAAGAGATTTCAGTTCTGGCATTCGCAATTTGAGAGTCTTATAAAAACCACATGAAATAAACATAGAGGTGGCCTTACACTTCTAAAATAAGTTTAAGGAGACATTAAAGATTTAAAAAAACTGTCATAATCAAACTTAAATTTTTAATTGAATTACTGTTCTTTTTGTGTTACTTATGCAGGCTTTTTATAAATTACTTCATATTTCTTAGAAAAAAGTTTTGTGAGTCTTTGAGATAAACTAAGATACATTGATTGTAACCATATAGCAACCATAATAACGAAAAACCTAAGATAATCGGTGTGTTTGTCAAAAAGTCAGAAAATAAAGCCATTTGTTGCCTTGACAAACTTTGATTGTAGCACTTTTGGTGAATGTTACTGTGAGAAGAAATTTCTATATTTGATGCTTTAAAAAAGGTAGAATGAAACAGAAAAGTAAAATAAAAGTAAAAGCTGAAAGTCAGTAGCATTATGGTTGTTCAATTTTTCTGTCTTGATTGTGGAGTTTTGAACAGCAGTAAAACAACTGCATTTGTTAACGTCCCTTTTTCTCCATGTTTTGTTGGATTGTTTCTCAGCGGTCAACGTTGTTTGCAGATGGAATTTCAATACATTGAACAGCTGTGCGAATACTCCAGGCATGGAGACTTGAAGAGCATCCAGTATTTGTTGAGAGAACATAAAGAGTTTGATAGACGAAGAATTAGGAAGGCAATGGTCAGTATTTATAAGGGAAGACCAATGCCGCATTTAACATTTGATTTTATCTCAAGTGCTTTACGTGTGCTTAAATTAGCGTTTTTTCATCAAAAAATGAACTACTTGGTTAAACTAAATATCGAATAAAACAAAATTATTGTTATCAAATGAATATATTATCTCAAGTTTCAGGTTTTATTTGTAATCATGTTACTTTCGTTCTGCAGAGGATACTCATAATGACTAATATGTTTGATTAAAATCTGTAAAGTTTCATTGGCCTAAGTAACTTAATAATTTTAGTGTCACGACTAATTTAGTCGAAGAATTGTTTGATTCTTTACTGTTTTATTCACATTTATTTTCAGTTTTCCAGACTCAAATCGTTTTTCTGTTTCAGGAAGAAGCATTGTTTTTAGCATCTGAAGGTGGATATTTAGACATTGTCCAATTTTTTGTGGAATATGGAGTCACTACCACTTTAGAACGTGAAGATAAGGTAACGCATAAAATAAAAATTACAGTTCGTGCAGCAATTTAATAAAAACTGAGATTCTAAGTAGAAAAAAGAGAAAGCTCGAACTAGATATGATCAAAAAAAAAAAAAAAAAAAAAAAAAAAAAAAAA